CTTTCTAAGGCTACACATTTTAACAATGACCATAATGGGGTATAAAAATCAACACTGTTGACAAAGAAAAGAAAGCCATAAAAACACCTATGACAATGATATTGATCTCAAAACAGGAGAGTTATATTAAGGAAAGAAGGTTTTGAAAAGGAATAGAAACTGAGCACCAAAAGGTAAAGTGTCCTTCAAATGCAGGGACTCTTCAAAACACAAGGTACGAGAAAAAGAACTAATTCCTGCCAGCTATTAAAAGATGACTTTAAAGTGACCAGAAGGAAGTGAGCACAGCTGAACAGTATGTTAAGAGAAACCATTAGAAGTAAGAACCCATTCTTCAAAGAGCTGAAGTTGCATCCAGATGTGGAAAATACAAAGAACCAAACTCTAACAGACAAAAGAAACACTACAGTAAGGCAGCCTCCCCCCAAAAGCAAGGGGCAAATCACATAGGGTATAAAAACTAACACTTGTATGTTGTGAAAACCTGCAGGGACAGAAAGTGTGCAGATAGCATGTAGGCCAACAGATGATCGAGGAAGGAAAACAGAGCATCAGTGAGGTGTTTTCTTAAACATGTTTATTATGGAGGAGCTGGGGTAGGCTCCTGTGCCAGAAACTTTCTCCATGGGTAACGTGAAACAATATCTAGGCCAAAGCGAAATGCCAGGAGACTAAAGAGTCAAGTAAGTGGTAACAAAACACTGGGACCAGGTGGCAGTCATCCAAGGGATGTAAAGCCAAACCACAGTGCAAAAACTCTCACCTAGTATCACCTCAGTATGTCAGAAAAGGAATATATCAAATGCAATGCCTACCTTGAAAAGACGCTTCAGAGGAGATATGGAGAGCTACAGCTCAACCAGCCTGACATTTTGTATGGTTAGAAGATTCAAGAGTAGAAACCATAACCAAAAAGCAGTGAGTATGCACTTGGGTGAGCATTGTATATTGCAGCAGAGCAGATAACACAGTTTTCCGTACAGGTAAATTACAATGACAAAACCTCCAGAATATTTCTGAGGTGACAATCCTGTGAATGAGCAAAGCTTGGCTGATGTTGGATACCCTCATGAAACCAAGTTAGATGGATTACAGGGTGCCTCAAAGACACTTTGAAAGACACACAAGGCATTGCATGGTCAACTGATGAAAGGTTATTAAAACACTGTCAGGAATAAGTGGTTGGTTTGCACAGCACAGGCAAGTTGCTGTCGGATCCATGCTCAGGCCTGTGGTGTTCAACACATTAATAAATGATCTGGGAAAATGCAGCAAGTAGCTTGGAGCAAGTTACTCAAAGTCGCAGAGAAAAATGCAATGTTAAGAATTCTTAGACAATGAAAAGGAAAAGCTTCTCATTTTATTAAGCCACAGAACAAATTTGGTGAGATTAACATGTAAACACTGCAGAGTTTTGCTCTTCATCCTGGGAACAAAACAGTGGAACTAGCAGAGACACAGAAGAAAGACAAGGATAATCATAGGCATGAAAAGGCTGCAACAGAGGAGCAAGAAGATTGATCTGATCTTTTCAGGTGAAAAAAAGAAAGCAGACTGAAAAGAAGATATGGCCAAGATCTATAAAATAAGAAATGACAGAGGAATGGTGAATAACGACTTCTTATTTTGTCTTCCAACACAAGAGACTAGGGGAGATCAAGTCAAACTGCTGTTAAGTTCCATAAGTTCAAAATGGAGCTACTTCCTCACACAAGGTGCTGGCAAGCTGCAGACCTGCCTGCAACAGGTTACTTGCATAAAAAAGAATTATATGGGTTCAAGAAGCAGCTGGCCAAGTTTGTCAAAAGGACAAAACCAAATAAGCCCAACACACTCATTGAAAAGTCATAAATGTTCATATAACAATTGCCCTGGGCTGAGAGACTGCATATTGAAATAAAGTATTCAGATGTATCACTATTTGCTTGCTTCCTTCGCCTCCTCACTAGGTACCTGTTGCTGCCCACCTGTCTGACAGAACAAAGGGCTGGAAGGACCCTCAGCCAATGGCAGCATGGATGTTCTCAGCTATCCAAGCATCACAAGGAAAATACTTCCAACAGCAAATATTTGCAGCAAACAGTAAATATTTACTGCAAGGGAATCAGCTAAGAAAGATTATTTGCCAAAAAATACTTGGGGTTTCTGATTAATATATAGGTTTGTCACTGAGCATGTATTCACTTTCAGGATAAAATATAATATAAAGCTGCTTTTGTTTTGTTGTGAAGGACAGTGAGGCAGTTGAGCTGTTTTGGATACATGACCTCATTTATCACCTTTGTCTTTCATTTATTGTCACTGCCTATCTACATGCAACCATTGCAGATTTGTTTGAGACTTCCTGCCTTAGTGCAATGGTGCTAAACAGAGTAACACAGGTCAGAGGTGTCTCAAGATCTGCAGCTTCTAAAAGAGAGGTTTGCTCTCCGTTCTTCTGAGGTGTTATGACTCAGTCATAAAAAACATGTATGTCTTAGATTTCTGCCTATTGATTCCACTTGCGCTTTAACACTTGGCATTTTCTGAGAAGATATTTATTACATTCTTCCCAATGGAAAAAGAGAATATTACTTTTTTTTTTTAGAGATAACTTTTTGACAACTTAAAGGAGTGAACTTCTAGTAAGCCAGGATATCACGCTCATTTACTGCATCTTCTAGCTTCAACTTCAGCTTCTCAGTGCTTGTTCTTGCAGTTTAAATTGCCTCAATCTCAGCCTTTCCATAGTTCCACTTTCACTGTACCCAGATTGTTATCTGCTGAACATTTCTAGAAAGCTGAATACGATAGTTGCACAGTTGCCAATCTTACCAGCCTTTAAAATACATTTTTATACTTGTTTGTAATAGAGCTCTGAAGGCAATTGCTGTACACTGATGACAAAAGCCAACAGCAGGAGTTTCAAGTGGACTAATTCTACCTTCCCCCAAACTGAACTTCACAAGCAAAAAACCCCAAACCAAACACTATATGTGTACAGACCCTTTTTTCCAGTTACCTATTTTACACACACAAAAAGGCAAACCCACACAATGCTACCTTCAATTTCACAGAACAAAACCTGATCTGTCTATTCAGATGCTGAATAGGCTCCTACCTGCATTGCCTGTCAAGTTCTAACATCAAAATTACAGTCAAGTTAGTTGAAATTATGCTATTAAACTAGATATCCATTTCTTAATATTGGCATTTTGCTTATATTCCACATCCTAACAACTCAGTGCAAAGTACCTATTAGCTAATAAACTATGTAAAAAAAACCAAGCCACTGTCTTAAATATATTTCAATTTTTAACAGTTACAAAAAAACCCTAATAAAACCCAAATACAAAAAAAAACCTGAGGACATTACAGTCTCTGATTTTAGGTAGTTTACTTCACCCAGATTTCACTGCAATCCCCAGTTCCCACCGATGTTAGCAATAAAGTCCCAATCTCATCCATCATAGAATGCAGCCAGTGAATTCATGCATGCATAAAGCCCTAATGAATTTAAGGGGATTCATGTTTGGGAAGGTGATCTTTGAGGCAGGACAGTTTGCAGGGAATAGTATTTTGAATGCACATAAGAAAGAAGAAAGATGCGAATCTGTTGTGCAAGAAGTTGAGTGCTGTGACATTTTACACAGGAAGTATCAGAACCTGCCTAATAAACTGAATTTGAAGAATATAAAGTGATATTTCATCTGAAAACAACAACTCTCATTTTCAGGACAAGCACTTGTAGTCAAGTTTAAAACAGCAATGAAAGCTTACAATGAAACACAGAATAAAAAATAACCACTGCTGAATGCAAACACATGGCAGTTTTGTTCTTTCAAATGTGTCCAAAAGAATGCTTAGAATCCATAGTCTTTCCTTGCTTGTCCTATTAAAAAAATAATTTTTTACATCAAAAAGGTTATTCAGGATAAAAAAGCAGCTCCTACAGTGACCACTGACACAGAGTTCTTTGGATCTGTCTTTGCTAAGACTATTTTCTTACTTATTCAGCTTGTATCTAGAGGCAAATGCTGGAGAACCTGACAACTCAGTAAGCTTTCCCTTTTGGTTTTGAGAGAGGTGCCTGTAGTTAGAATCACATGAAAGAATCTGTTTGCACAAGAGATCTACTGTTAAAAGTGTGAAATTTTGATTTGTGTCTTCTACACTAGATGCAACTAGTGGAAGCATTAATTAAGAGGGACTTGCTAGGAGATCATACACTGGATTACAGTTTCAAAGGGAATTACAAAACGAGTTTTCCCAAATAAATACTATGGTTTCCAGCCATGTGGATTCTCATTCAAAGACCTTTTCCCATTTTAGGAAGTCTGATAAAAAGCAATTTACAGAAGCTGCAGTCCTATTAACTGTTCTACTGAGAACAACAGAAGTTGTCCAACCTGGGCATAATAAAGGTGGAGGTTAATTCCACTGTTAAGGACTTACCATAGGTTGCAAATGTTCTCCTTTGTTGTTCAAACATGAAATCATTAATGTGAGCTGGTTCTGCATATCCAGAAAGCATATTTCTAGGTGCAGCCATCTGTTGAGTCCTAAATGGGTTTTCTGGTCCAAACTACATAAAAAAAATGTTAAAGTACAGCAGAATTAGTAATTTCTTATTTTTGTGTATGTACTTTTTCAGGGGAAAAAAAAGACTTGTCTTTCAAAAACTGTAATGCAAAATCACTTCAACTTCCTATTTCCTTATGACTACTGAATAAGCTGCTTAGTCTGTTATTTTACACAGTAATCACACAGTTGATTTGAACAGTTCATCTCACGATTGAACTTTCTAGCCTGTATTACTGGTACAGAGGAAAAATCAATATCAACTACTTGACACAAACCACTGTCATTCAGTACGTGATCAGTACAAGCATTCAGAAGACAAAACCACAACACACTGTTCCTTGTAAGGGGAAGATATCAAGAGAGATATATCAGCTTCTATTAAACACATGCATTTAATACAGAATTTACACTGCCAACAATACTTTCCTGCATTTGGAAAGCAAGTGGGGACTTGCTGCATTACTGCAGGAGAAACACTTATGAAACCCTGCCTTTCTTTTCTTCTTGCAAGATGATGAATGCCAGTCTGATTAGGGAAGAGAACAGTGATTACCAATATGTGCAGCACACTGAGACTAACATCAGACTAAACCTACTTGTAACCCCTATGCTTGTCAGCCACACTTCAAACACCTGAGACTGCCCCACATTAGCTTTCCCTAACTTAAACATTTACACAAAGCAACACTGTAGTAAGTTTAAATCAGTACTTTTGCTCACACTTGTCAAGGCTTTAATAGAGTGCAAAATGCAAACTTGGTATGAGAAGACCAGTTTATGTGGTTCCACAAAAGGTTTTCTAAACATAAACCATAACTGATGTACAAATTTGAGATTGATGCAGCATTTGTCTCCCTGGAGTGCTAACCCCTGGTCTAACAGAAGACAAAGAAGTTCAATGCTGAAAAAGTTAAATGCTTGAACAGCTATTTTTATCTTTCAGATAGCCTGTCAGTTATAATAAAATGGAACGTGGTTCACATGGCACCAGGCAGTCTAAATTCAGCCTAAAATGGCTTTTTAGCTATACACATTTAGCACAGCTCAAGTTACTAAAATTCTTAATACTGATGTGAATAATTAAACTGAAAGTACTTTGATTTTAATTTTAAATCCTCCTCTAAAAAAGCCTTATATCTGCAGGACTTACAACTGTGCGTTGTGCTCTAAGGAGCACGATGAGCAAATAGCAAAAATGTGAAAACAGTAAGAGACAACTTCAGTGCAGTTCATCTCTTACTAAACATCTTTATAAGGGTCCTTCCCTAGCTAAATTTTTAATTTCCATAGCTGTAATTCTGATAAACACTTTGAGATTCTTCTTGGGAGAGCTTTATGCAGAATATTAAAACTCAAGCATTAAAAATACCAACACACCAATGCAGAATCTTTTTTTTTAATTTGCCCAAACTAGATCCCAAAATGCAGCAAAGCATCCAAAGAACTTATGTCTTATAGGCAATTCACATGAGATTTATAGAACCTCTGCTCTTTAAGCCAAAGGCATTTCTGCTCTAAGGACCAGTATTGTTTCTTACCTCAGGTGCAAACATAGTTTCATAAGTGGGATTGTATTGAACCTCCTTGATAGCAGGATCAAGGTGGACTCCTGTTTCCACATCTTCCTGAAATGAAACAGGCACATTAATAAACCATTTTTCACACACAGACTTCTAAATATATGACATCACTTTATTTCAGTCCAAGTTAGTTCTGTAGTTCAAGTTGACACTTTCAGCATTATGAGTGCAGAAAAGCACCTTGGCCAGAGTTTATATTTTAAAAAAATATTGATTGCAAAACCAATGTCAGGCTCTCACTGAGAAGCTCTTCTAAGACACATGTGGAATTTTGCATGTGAATTTTTACTGTTTTTTTCTAAAAGCATTTCAAAAACAGCAGCAAGACTGGAGGAAAGATTTTTTTTTTGGAGGATGTTTGAAAACCAGAGTTGTAAGGAAGAACCAATTAAAATGGTCACCAGTAATATAAAGATATGAAAAGTAGAGTTCCCCAAAAGGTCTAACTGTTCTGAAAGACAATTATGATAAAAATACTCCATCAGCACAAACATTAAGTACAACAATGATTTTCAGAGAGTGCAACAATCCTTCATCTCCAAGTTTTTACCGAAAGGTACAAAGGTATTTCAGCTTTAATAGTTAAACACATTTCCAAGCCTGTTGTGACAAAAGCTTATCTTGACAGATGAAGGGACAAGAAAGAGGGACTAGTACAATATCTTCTCAAGGAACTCAAAAAGAAAACTCGGAAGGGCACACAGCTGAAACAGAGGACAGAGAGGGGAAAGGAAAAGGCTGATAGGGTAGCAGTGCTCAGACCTGGTTTCAGAGCCCTACAAAGGCTCATTTACATTGACTCTAAATAGACAGTACCTCCCTCGTCACCCAGAGCTCAGTTAACGAAGGAGAATGTTATTCTGCAGTATTATTAATGGCATTGCTTCCTATATCTTTATTCGAGAATAAATGTAATTGAAAAGAACTCATGATGTGCTAATGCATTGATAACATTCCTAGCAATCATACTGAAAAAGCTATCTTAGCATCAGTGTATAATCAGTGCTTACCTACAGCAGGATCCAAAAGCATTTGTGACTCAGAAGAAGTGGCACAACAGTGAATCAAATTTTAGAAGTCACTTCATTAAAATTACCTCAAACAAACTCAATCTTGCCTTGTATTAGAGTACTTGGTAAGAGTAAAATGGCATGTTCTTTACTGGTTTAATATTGTTAGCTATTCTCTGACATGCTGTGCCCAGAAGCTTTTTTTCTCCCCAATTCAACAGCAGGTCAATTACAAATTTGCTCATGCATGTAAGACTTAAAAGATTTTAAAACTTGGTTTTCTAGAACACAGAAAACAAAAGCAGTACCTAAAGATCTTTGGCTTCTTACCTGATTATATTTGATTAAAACTGCGTTTAAAAAAAAAGGGTGTTGAAAAGAAAGAGCATGACACTGGCTTTTTGCTTTTCTGTCAATTGTTTTTCTGCTAAGGCACTGTTTTAGCAGTTCAACCAGAAAACTTTAGTCTCACCCTGTATCGATCATTTTAACAGGCAGGTCCAGCCACTGCACTGATCTTGTTTGAACCCTTCGTGCTGCCAGTTCTCAGCCTGACCATCTTCCCCATTCCACACGACCTTTCCAATTCACTGGGCTTAGATGACAACAGCTACTGGTACATTCACAGCCCTGACTTTCATACAATGTGAACTTGCCTGGAAACAGCACAGCAGCCTTAATCCAGTCATTCAGCAACAAAACCAGACATCCCCAGCTAGAACAGGAGCAGAGCAAAACCATCTCCCAACCTGTATTACCTACACACTTACATTTCCTTTCACAGCTCCGTGTCCTGAGAACATTTTCTATAGACAACTTTTTCATGTTACATCATACAGTTACTCTGCCACCTAGACCTCACATCTGGTCCATAAAAATTAACATAATTGATAATAAGGCAAAATTTATCTGATCAACATTTAAAAAGTGATCAGTTTACTTGAAATTAAGATACCGTTTTTTTCCTGCTCTTTAATCTGGAAAAGTGAGAAAAATCTAGTTTTGCAAAGATGCCAAGAATTTTTCAGTTCTGCTATTTTTCCTCTTCTTTCCTTCCTGTTAAGTTCTATTATATGCTGCTTGGTAATTGAGAAAAGAAACAGATTGTGTCATGAAAGCTGATCCTCTGCTGGACGATTATAGCAATTCTGGTTCTACTTCGCTGCTGGTGGAACAGTGCTGAGTCACTTGGAAGCCACACAATATGTTCACTCCTAGACCACCACAGGCACAGCCTTTCTGTGCGAAAAGCACCGAGCCTTGAAATTGAAGCACATGTTATATTTATCAGAGCTACACTCTCCAAGACCTCCAGTCTTATTCATGTTTTCACATATTTGGGCATAAAATGATGATCCAATAACGAGCTGCTGAAGCACATAATGGTTCTCTTTTCACTATGCCTTTTTGCTTTAAACTATATAAGAATTTGAATGAGTTCCAACTCCCCATTTTACTTCCTCAGTATTTTAAAGAATTGAAATCTTGATAGGAATATAAAGTATTGACACAACATATTCTGAAATGTTAGTCTATGGCATGAGTTCAAATAGCAGCAGACAGATTATCCTGTGGTCAGCATCGTACAGCATTACAAGACTCTGGTAGGTAGCAGAAACACTAAAAATACCAACCTAGCCTATCAATCACTTCACAAATTGCCAAGCTATCTGCATTGGGGTGTTTTGGTCGTGGGAATGAGAGGAAAGAGCTCATCAGCAACTTCTGCATACGGTGAAGATCACTGGGTACAACTGCTGCATTGCCAGAAGACCATCTGAGTCTAAATCATCTGAGACCCAGAAAGCACAGAAAGTAAATACAGGTCTTGTGACTCTGATGCTTTATGCTGGCAACAGCCTTCACTGCATGCATTCTAGATGCATTTGCCATAGCTACAGCTAACAGGGAAGGGATCACAGGAGCAGCAGTCTGGCAGAGCTGTGACTGAGATAAGGTAATCTAAAGGATCACGTCTCCCTGCTGTGCTCCAGTTTTCCCTTTGGTCACACATATGTCTTGATTTATCTAAAAGCCTAAGGTGAGCAGTTCATCATGTAGCTTATGTACCAAGTGTGACACAAGTGGCTCTGCAGGATGGAAGATGATCAGTAGCTAAGCTGAAAGAGGAGGGCATCAGTGAATTCAGTGATGGGCTGAGCATTACCCTAGATCACTTCCCACTCTTGAAAGCACAGGAATCATAAAAGGAGAGGTCAAGAAGCTGTCAGTTTAAACAAATACAGTGTTCCTCCAGAGAAAGATAAAAGTTCAGCTGTAGGACTGGCAGAGAAGCAGCTAGTGTTTGCTGCAACTCAGAAACTGTGTAAATATGGGCTTTATGGCATATCGTAATATCATTAAAGGTGGAACAGTCCCTTTAATCTGAACAAGAACAAATGAGTTTTTAGGAAGTTATGTTTTACTGAATATGGCTATCTCGAAAGACATGAGATATAACGGAACTGCAGACCTCAGTTCTACATGCCACCTCTCTGCTTTTCTCAGTGGCTGCCATGTACCACCACACATGCTACTGAAAAGGGTCCAAATGAGAAAAATCAAGAATGATCAAAGAAAATATGTCCTGCACAGAAAAACTGAACAATCTAATCCAGCCCAGAAAAGATTATACAACTTTACAGAAATAAGGACAGCCAAACTGCACAGTCTATAGACCCACTGAAATTTGGCAGCCAGGTTAAATGAGTGTCTGTTGTTCACACTGACGCAAGTATCACTCCTGTTACAAGGCAAAAAGAGGCAGATGATGTCATATCACCAAACTACCTACTGTTTTGGTTGTGTTGTTTTTCAAAGATGTGGTGTCTTCTTACTTGTAGTATCAGGTTGATTTACAGTTCAGATGTTTTGATTTGGTATAAAATTCTTTGATAGTTAAATGCTTTCCTTTTGCGTCTGGCTCTACATACTGTGTCACACTGTACCAGGGGAATGGCACTCAGGGCAGTGTCTGCAGTATTAGCAGTTCCTAAGGAATCTATCTGGAGACAGAGAGAAGCTTTTGGTGCCGAGTGTAGACAAGCAGGTGCTTTATTATAACTCCCTGGAGATCACAGAATCCTAGGTTCCTAGGAAGGCATGCTACTTTAGTCCTACCATAAAGGCCCTTTGGACACTTAAAAGCATAAGAAGAGCACAGGGAATAGAAGGGATTTTAGACTATAAATACAGTAAAACAGATTAACTTTCCTTCTTACCAGATTCCTTAAACATGCCACAATCTTGTTATTCTTCAGAAAAAACCCTACCTGAATGCCCTAAACCAATACCTTTACCATCTACAAAAAGTAATTGATTTATAGAGTACAAAATAGTTCAATAATTAAAAAAAATTCTGAAGAAAAGCTTGCTATAAGTTTTTTCTGTGTGTAGGCAAGACAAAAACATTCCTAAAACTAAACAACGGTGAAATCCCTGTAACAGGCAACAGAAAAAACCCACAAGCTGCAGCATGGACTGCATCACTGGGTGCTAATTCTGTTCCTTAGGAAGAACATAATGTTGCTTATGTTTTCCAGTTTCATCTCGTGCAAGCAAAGAGTTGTGATGTCTATATGTTCGGGTTTTTACTTTCTTTTTTTTTTCCTCTGGACATTTCAGATAATAAACCTACAATGTTCTCTTCTCCCTAGGTAAATTCATTACTAATTAGTCAGATAGCTAAATAGGGCAGGCTACTTTGCATAAGATTTAATTAGTTTTAATTATCAATTAAATTAAAATGTGGCAAATTAAGACCCCATCCCATGAGCCACAGAGGCTTAAGCACTTTGTCACTTACCAATTCTTGCATAAACCACTTGGGCTGTCAAATACACATTATCTCATTCCAAAGATTTTCAAGAGAAATGCCATTTACAGTGAAGCTCCAGCATTAAGAGAAGGCTGTTACCTGCTTTACTCTTTACACCCATTCATACACTTGTCACAGTAAGTGACCACCACACTATCTTCAACAGGATAAAAATAAACCAGTAAGAAAAGCATATGCTAAATGATTTAGCTGAACTGGGTTAGATCCCCAGGATCCTGCAGGGTGACAGGTTCTAAACATCTACTTTCTACAAGATACTTTGTGTTAAAGAAATCTGGGAAAGCCGTGTTAAAGGAAGATGAAACATTCATCCCAACTAACACCTCCCCAGTCACTAATGTTCAATCACTGCTACAGAAAGATCACATGCCAACTTTGCATCTTTCTTCTCTCCATAGCTAGGCAGGGATTAGGCTTTAAAAAACACTCAGAAATGTGACTGAAGTCTATTTCTTCCCCCGAAGGAAAACTTTTCTGGAAACCTGCATAGTGCCAAAGGTAAACTAGATTCAACAGGGAACTGAGATTTCCAACCCCTTCTCACACCAAAGGCAACACAGACCCTCCAGCTCCTGCACTGGGGTGTGCCAGACTAGTTGATTTCAACCCAGTTAAGCGTCCTCTCCTCAAGACCAGTGAAGAAGACACTGTAGACAAATATCACAAAATCTGCTCCCATCCGAGTCCCACCCTGGACAGAGTTCAAGCACTCAATGTTGTCTCTTCAAAGGCAAAGCTTATAGCTGCAACATTTCCTGTGATTTCTTCAAAGAATGTGCAATTTCCTGAATTTCCTTCAGCATCTATAATTCAATAGCGAAGGTAAAACTTTGTCAGTAATCTCAGGGTGAGTTTTTTCATATCAGTTGAAGCTGTAGGAAAATTAATTGTAATTAGGTTTGACAATGCCCTGGCTGTGGGCAATTGGGCTCCCTTCCCTTTCTGGAACAGCCTCTACTGACAACACTTGTGCTTACCTGCTACTTGATGATGTATCTGGAGTAAGAAAATATCTTGACTAACCTATCCACTCTCCTTACAAAGGAGAAACATCAGCCTTACGATAACTTGACACCTAGGGGAAAGGAAGAGCAGGGCAAGTGTATATGATACTACTTCAGCACTCTCCCAACATTTAGGTACTTTCAGGTCAGAAGTCTTGGTGAGCTTGAAGAAATCTGTGTATTTATTGACACATCTTCCTTCCACGGACCTCTACCAAGTACTTGCCCAGACTCTCCCCGTAACAGTGCAAACTTCTTGCACACACAATATTTCTTGGCTTGGGAATAAGCACTACTACATGTTGCAATTTTCATCTAGTCAGCTTTCTAATTAAGACTGAAAATAGATCAATTACTGGATTGAAGTAACCAGTAAGTATAACTCAATGATATCTATTATGAGTAATTTAACATGAAGATCAGCAAAAGGCTTGTTTCAATGAGCAGACTGTAAGAGCAGGGTGTAACAAAAGCCTCTAACTTGTAAAACACAATTACAACTCATTAGTATAGCTTTCAATTACATATATATAAAAAGATATTTCTGCGAAAATAATTTTTCTATGATGCACTTTGAGGCAAGGACTCAGCAGATTTCTGTAGAATAAAGAAATAGATCTTGGAGTAACATCTTAGGGCTGTATTTGATATGCACATTTCAGTAACAGCAAATAAACCCCCAAACTCTAGCTGAGTGTGCCTTACTAATAAAGAGAATGAGGAACTACTCCTTTTTAAAGTACCCAGACATCAATGTCAATGCAAGTTAACAGGCCAAAAATCAGGTACACTGACCAGAACTAGAACAACAAACACTTCAGATTCACATTTTCAACTACGGAAAAATGCACTTGTGTGCAGCTGCTGTTTATATTTATTGTATGACTAACCCTTCTAACCTCCCTTCTTACCACCATATGGTCCCTTGTATAATACATCTCCATGCACTCGAGGGTACTTGATCCTTGGTCATGTCAAAACAACATTTCCCCAAGTGAAGTGATATTAATGAACTGTAACTTTGCTTTCCTACTTACTCAGCTTGCCCTTTTTCTGGGCCTGTACCTCAGGGACACTTGTGGCCTACACCCAAACATCGTGTCTGTTACATTTCCTAAACTCTGAAGAGTTAGGGTAAATTCCTGAGGGGGTGACTGGTGAACTTCCACTGCTGATGGGTAGGACGCTATCATTTTTAGACATGGAAGGTGTTGAGGACATGTTGTCTGTGAGACCTGCACTTATTTCTTGAACTCTAAAAGAAAGCCTAATATCACTGTTCAAAGAAATGACACGATGCTCCTCAAAGAAGGTTGACATGCTAAAAGAAGCTCCAGTGTGCTGTGTTCTGAAGGCCTCAGCTTGAAGTCATTGCTCTTTTCAGTTGTATCTACCTCATCTATGACCTCAAACAGAAACTACAGACAGCATCTTAGTGAAGTAGCTTCATACTCAGAAACCTCACTGCCTTTTTATCTTAGTTAGCACTGCAATGCCTGAGGCAGAGGCAGTTGCAGTTGTGCTGGTGGACACCCCTTCCCGGGCACAGCCTGGCAAGCAGCTTGGAATGGAACGTGCTGCTGACACCTGCCTTTCTCCACTGGAGACCTAACTGTACTAGCATAGTACATCTGCAAACCAGATCAAGGAATGGATCCAAGGACAAATAACTTCACCAGAGTTTTGTTTCTTAAAAAATTCAGATCACTTCCCTGATGCCAGCCCCGAGCCACTGCATAAACCTTTCTGCTGCCACAGCAAAGGGAAAACCTGTTGCTAGAGCCTCGAGAGTGGTGAAAAGAAGCCCTAAGAGTAGAGAAGGGAAGACTGTGTGGAGACCACAAAACAGCCTTCCAGTATCTGATGGAGCTACAGGGAAGCCAGAGAGGGACTCATTGTTAGGAGCTGCAGTGACAGAGCAATGGCTATAAATTGAAAGATGGAAATTTTAGGTTAGATATTAGGAATAAATTCTTTCCTGTGAGAGTGGTGAGACACTGGCACAGGTTGCCCAGGGAGGTAGTAGAAGCACCAACCCTGGCAGTGTTCACAGCCAGGT